ATAGAGTTCAGTTATCTAAGGAATTTCCTGTATGGTTTATTTTAAGTGCATCCACTGTGTTGCTTTTTTTAACTGCAGCTATTTAAACAGTTAACTTTCTCTTAAAGCTGTGTATGTTTGATTCCCTTTAAGTGGCCTTCATCCATTGTATAAGACAGGGATGACAAATGGGCTTCATATCATATGACAATTCCCAGAGCTATTATTTAATAGGGAGTCTACTGTAGTGAATGCCGGTCTTTTTTGTTTGTTTTTGTTTTTGTTTTTTCGAGACAGGGTTTCTCTGTATTGCTTTGGAGGCTATCGGTCCAGCCCAGCCTCGAACTCACAGAGATCCGCCTGCCTCTGCCTCCCGAGTGCTGGGATTAGGCGTGCGCCACCACCGCCCGGCAGTGAATGCCGGTCTTAATTGTACTGGTCTATAATCTGTGACCCATTTTGTTTGCTCCTTGGACATGGTAAGGTAATTGGTTGGTATAAGGGAGCTATAAACAAAATAACTGGCAGCAGTAATTTTCTGCAAATTTACTGTTCAAATTTATAGTTTTTATGGTGACTTGGAAGGCTTTTATCTGTAGGGCGTTAAACCAATACATGGCTTTTTTTGTTTGTCTGTTTTTTGTTTTTTGTTTTTTATTTTTTGGAGATAGGGTCTCTCTGGTTAGTCTGTCTGTCCTGGAATTCTGGAGGCCAGTCTGACTTCCAACTCAGAGACCTGCTGATTAAAAGCTTGCACCACCAGCACCCAGCCACATATGACTTTTGAATATTGCAAGTTAAAAAAAATGAAAAAAATTTTTTTGTTGTTGTTGTCAGGGGTGAGGTCTCATATAATCCAGGTTGGTTTCAAACTCGCTGTGTAACCAAGGATAACTTTGAATTTGACACTTCTGAATTACTCTTGAGTTGAATGCTAATATCACAGGTATGCACCACCACACGTAGCTGGTAATTTTTATTTTTTGGATGGAGCAGGATATAGAAGCCAGGCCTTTGCGTATGCTAGGGAAACACTCTACTAACTGAACTAAATCCTCAGTCCCCAAGAAAATGAAGTTTAAAATTTAGCTACTTTGATGGGGCTGAAGAGATGGCTCACAGTTAAAGAGTATTCACTGTTCTTATAGAAGAACTGAGTTTGATGTTCAGAATCCACACATGGTAGCTCACAACTGTCTGGGCACCAGTCATACATGTGATGTACATACATATAAGCAGGCAAAACATTTGTACACATAAAAATTACTCTCAACTTAATTTCTTGAGATTTTTTTTTTGTTGTTGTTTTTGTTTTTACGAGACAGGGTTTCTCTGTATTGTTTTCGAGGCTGTCGGTCCAGCCCAGCCTTGAATTCACAGCGGTCCGCCTGCCTCTGCCTCCCAAGTGCTGGGATTAAAGGCGTGCGCCACCACCGCCCGGCGAGATACATTATTTTTTATTGTTGCCAGTGATCTATGAAGTTTCTATTTTCTCAGTATCATTGCTAGCACCTGTAATATTTTTAAAAATTTGACATTTAATTGTATTTCTTCTTTTCCTTTTACCCCCCCCCCAAATCTTTCTCCTATATGCCTCTCCCTGCTTTACTTCAGATTCATGGCTTTTTAAAAAAATCAATTGTTATTTCATGTGTATTTGTATATGATACACATATCTATTCCTAAAATAACCTGTTGCGTCCATATAATGTTACTTGTATCTGTATCTTCAGGGCTCACCCTTTGGTACTGGACAGCCAGTTGTTGTACTCTTCCCTTTAAAATTTAAATGAAGGCTCTGTAAAATACTGCCTTTGCTTAAGTGTGTGACATTACTGTTTGGGCAAGACTGCATTGTACATTACTGCATCGGAATGATAAGGTTCTTATGTGTAGGTTTATAAGTAGAATCATTTTTATTAACATTTAATTGACTACATAGTTATATGCTTCTATAGTAAAGAAAACTGGAAAATAAACTGTTTTTACATGGAAGGAAAGGAGAAATAGATGTTAGCCCAAAGCTGACTGACAGTTCTTTCCACTCCAGTGGTGGAAAAACAAAAGACTCAGAGACAGATATTGTGGCTCAGGCTTCAAGCCGAAGATCAAAAAAGCAAAGCAGCCGGCCACTAGCTCTCACCTCTAACTTTGGCTGAAAGGACTGCTCCATGAGGTCTTCACCAAACCTCACACTGCTGCCTCTCCTTAGCATGGATGGAGAGAATCCAGAGACTGTCTCAGAATGCTGCTCTAACCTCAATGTGACTGGAGACTGAATGCTAGTTCTGAGACCCCATTCCTGTCTTAAATACCTCTCATGAGTCCTGGGGTTAAAGGCATGTGATCCCAAATGCTGAGATTATCTTTGTGTGAACTGTTTCTCTTTAGTACTGGATCAGTTTTGTGTAGTTCAGTGTGGCCTTGAACTAACTAAGAGATAGATTGTCTACCTCTTAATTCTGAGTCCTGGGATTAAAGATGTGTGCCTGATTTCTATGGCTTGTGGCTGACTTTGCTTTCTGAATCCTCAGGCAAGTGTTAATAAGTCATAAATAATATATCACCACATGTGTGATCTTTAAATTGAAAACTAAAGAAACAGGCAAATGAAATTCTAGAATATAATGGATGACTGAAAATAATGACCTTATTTAAGTTTAAGTCTACCTGGCTTTGTAAACAAATGTTTGCCTTTTTAATTGTAGAACCGTTCTGAATTTTGATTCTAGAGCAAATATCCTTTCACATTCTTGACAAGTGCTCTACCATGAAATAAAATTCCTGCCTAGATTCGTGTTTTAATGCAAAAGACTCTGCTTTTAATAGTGTGAATGGATGCTTCTATTCATGATTGTACCTGTATTCATAGTCACTAAAAGAGCAAGAAAAAGAAACAAGACGATAATCTCAAAGGAAAAAGTAAATTCCTTTTACACAGATAAACAATATTGTTTAAACATCTTAAGTAATCTCTAAACAGTGGCTAGAGTTAATGAATGAATTTAGAAACATTAGAGAACTACAAGATCAGTGTATTAAAGTCAGTTATCTATAAACTTAGCCGTAATCTCAGAACTCATCAGAATAGTTCTAACTTCTTTTTAAAAATTACTCTCCCATCCAATTTATTCTCATTATTGTATGTACTTTGTTCGTAAGTGTGAGGGTGCCAGTGCCATAGCGTGCATGAGGAGGCCAGAAGACAACTTTGGAACTGTTTTTCTCCTTCATCTTTAATGGGGTTCAGGGAATGAAACTCAGGTCACTAGGCTTGTACAGCAAGAACTTTTACCTATTGAGTCATCCTTCCAAACTTACTTGGGCCTTTTTTTTTTTTTTAAGTTTATTTAGTTATTTAACATCCTGACCACAGTACTCCCTCCCCATCCACTCCTTCCCTGACCACAGTACCCTCCCCTAATCCACTCCTTCTCTGTTTCTGTTCACAAAGGGGCAGCCCTCTCACAGGTTATCAACAAAGCATGGCATATCAAGTTGCAGTAAGATTAAGCACGTTCCCTTAAATTGAGGCTGGACAAGGCAATCCAGTATGAGGAATAGGTTCTCAAGAGCCAATCAAAGTATTAGGGACAGTCCCTGCTCCTATTATTAAGAGTCCCACAAGTAGACCAAGCTGCATAACTGTCACATATATGCAGAGGGCCTAGGTTGGTCCTGTGCAGGCTCCCTGGTTGTTGGTTTCTATGATTCTGTCAGTTTTTTTGTGATATCCTTGACCCCTCTGACTCCTACAATTCTTCATCTCTTCATCAGGATTCCCTTAGCTCAGCCTAATGTTTGGCAATGGGTCTCTTTTCTGTTTTCATCAGTTAATGAATGAAGGCTCTCTGGTGACAATTGGGTTATTCACCAATCTGATCAGAGGATGACCTGTTCAGGCTACATATTCTATTCACAAGTGCTGGGAATCTTAGTTGGTGTTCATCCTTGTAAATTGGTGAGTTTCTCTTGCATCCCCCAAAGCCCCCCTTTCCAGTTCTCTCTTTCAATATTCTCCCCTTTCACCCACCCCTAAACTTGATCTCTCAAGTTCCTATCCCCACTTACCCTTGATGGCTAAGGAGGTCGAACATCTCTTTAAGTGTTTCTCAGCCATTTGAGATTCTCCTGTTGAGAATCCTCTGTTTAGGTCTGTACCCATTTTTTAATTGGATTTTTTTGATGTCTAGTTTCTTGAGTATATTTTGGAGATCAGCCTTCTGTCAAAGGATGGGGGGTGGGGTTGATGAAATGAAGATTTTTGTCCCGGTCTGTAGGCTGCTGTTTTGTCCTTTTGACAGTGTCCTTTGCCTTACAGAAGCTTTTCAGTTTCAAGAAGTCTTATTAATTGTCAGTCTTAGTGTCTGTGCTATTACTGTTCTATTCAGGAAGTTGGCACCTGTGACAATATATTCAAGGCTATTCCCCACCATCTTGTCTATCAGGTTTAGTGTAACTGGATTTATGTTGAGGTCTTGGATCCCCTGGGACTTGTGCAGGGTGATAGATAAGGAACTGTGTGCATTTTCTACATTTGGACATCCAGTTATGCTAGCGCCATTAGTTGAAGATGCTTCCTTTTCTCTATTGTATATTTTTGGCTTCTTTGTCAAAAATCAAGTGTCCATATGTGTGTGGGGTTATGTCTGTGTCTTTGATTTGATTCCATTGACCAATGTGTCTGTTTTTATGCCAGTACCATGCTGTTTTTATTCTATAGTTCTGTAGTAGAGCTTGAGATCAGGGATGGTGATACCTCCAGCAGTTCTTTTATTGTACAGGATTGTTTTAGCTATCCTGGTTTTTTTTTTTTTTTTTTTTTCCTTATAAGGTTGAGCATTGTTTTTTTTAAGGTCTGTAACCAACCAACCAACCAAACAAACAAAAAGTCAGCATGCCATTTGGCTAGTTAGATATTGCTGATTTGGCCTTTTTAAATGGGGAAAATAACTATATTTGTATAGAATGTGTATTTAGTGAATGTTTACTAAGTATTGGTGTTTTTGTTTTTATTCCAGGCTACAGACAAGAGAAAAGCTCTAGAAGAGACCAAAGCATATACAACCCAATCTCTAGCTAGTGTTGCTTATCAAATAAATGCATTGGCCAACAATGTACTCCAGTTGCTGGATATCCAAGCATCTCAGCTTCGGAGGATGGAGTCTTCCATCAATCATATCTCACAGGTACCAGCTTGTAAACTCTTTTATGGTAATTGTTTAGTCACATGGAAGCATGTTTCTTGATTAAAGTCATACATTGCTTACTGATAAGAGCACATACCTGCTAAGAATTGTGTCCCTAGGAGATTTTGCTGTGGTGTGAACATGGTAGAGAGCACCTACACCAATCTTTATGGTATATAAGTCTACCCACTGTTCTCTATGGAGAGTTGATGTTGTGTCAAGATTGGGAAATGCAAGGTTCATGAGTCTGTTAACAGTTTTTAAACTAATAAAAAGATAGTATTAGTCAGGGCTGGAGAGATGGCTCAGTAATTAAGAGCACTGGCTGCTCTTCTGAAAGAGTATCTGGCTTCAGTTCCCACCACCCACATGGCAACTCAAAACCGTAACTCCAGTTCACAGGATCTGATACCCTCACAACAGATAAAACATGCAGACAAAACACCAGTGCACATTAGATGAAAAAGATATCATTAAAAAAAATTTGCTCCTAAAAAGAAAAACAGTAGTATTCTTTAATACAGTGGTAAAAGTATTATAAATATATAGACTAGTAAAAGTTTATTATCAGGTATTATACAGTATAAAAGTGTGACTGGCAGTACAGTAGATATGTTCACAGAGTCACTACCATGAAACATATGACAATTCATTCATTGTTCTTGGACACTATGATATAAAGTACTAATAGACCTCAGGTGTATTACAGTTTCAGACAGATGTAATGTAATGATGGTATAGATAACCTGGGAATATTTTACTGCTTGTAGTCATGATCACTCTTAGCTTTGTTTTGAGTTGAGTAAGTCTACTGTTTTATGTTTTGAAATGGTCCCATTGTAGCCCTGGTGGTTACTGAACCCAGCTGCCTTAGCCTCTTAAAAAAATAAAAAAATATATATGTTGAGTATTTTGCCTACAAATATGTCTGTGTACCACATGAGTGAGTGCCTGGTGCCCACGGACCCTAAAAGAGGGCACCAAATCCCCTAGGATTGGAGTTACAGATGATTATGAGCTGTCTTGTGCTTCTTGGGAATCAAACCTGGGTCCTCTGTAAGGTGGACTAGTGCCGTTCATGACTGCCCATCTCTCCTGTCATTGTGTGTGCATTATTTTTGGCTTTTTAAAAATATTCCTTTTACATTTATAGAAAAACAACACGAATCTGAACATTTAAGGTGTTTTTTGACTAGGGATGGAGCTTAGGGCTTTGAGTATTCCAGTCGTGCATTCCACTACTGATCTGCACACCCAGTTTCTGGTTAAGCTTTATTTTGAGGCAATCTTATGGTAAGCTGCCCAGGCTGGCCTTAAACTCTCCATCATGCCACCGAGTCACCATGCCAGCCTGTTGACTTTTGTTGAGGTTAACTAAATGACATTTAATTAACTTATAATAGTATCTTGCCAGTTTTCATTTATTCCCAGGAGAGCATCAACGCAAAGAAAGGAACATGTGCTTTTGTAAACCTTCCTCCTTCCCATCCCCTGTTCTCAGGCTTTCTGTCATTATAGAATAGTTCATATTTTCTAGAATTTTGGGTAAATGCATTCATGCACCTATCCCCTGCCCCTTTCATTTTGGTTCAGCCTTTTTCACACAGTATGCTTACTTTGAGATTTACCCATATTACTCCCATATAGTTCCCATATAAAAGAGTTGCTGCTTTTATTGTTGAGTGGTTTCTTTTGTGTATCTGTTGTTAGAAATATAGGTTGTTTCCATATTTTGCCAATTACATATTAAACTTCTGTGAACATTTATATATAGATCTATCCATAGTCAAATACTTTTCAATTTTTAAAAATTATATTTATTTATTTTTGTGTGGGGGTGTGCATATGTGTCTCAGCATATTATATTTGGAGGTCAGAGGTGAATTAGCAGGAGTGGTTCTCTCCCTTCCAGCATGTGGGTCCCAGAGTCTACTCAGGTTTTCAGCTTGGTAGCAGGTGCCTTCATGTTCCAAGTCATTCTCACTGGTCCTGCTTTTGTTTCATTAGGGCAGATATCTGTGTGGAATGAATAGTTTACATGGTAGAAATTGTCAGGTTGTTTATTAAAGTGGCTTACTGTCTAGTCTGTGAGAGATCTTATATTCATCTGGGGAAAGAAACAAGGGTTTTTGTTGTTTTATCTTCTAATAAGATGAATTACACTGGTTTTGGCTTTATATTACTTTAAATGTTAAGCAGTCCTTGCTGTCCAGGGATTAAATTCCAACTAACATATATTGCCAATTTTATTTTGTTTTGTTTTATTTTGTTTGAGTTTTAAGGAATTACTTTTATGGTCTTGAGACTTATTTGTTATATTTTTGTAACGTTTTTGGCTTTGGTGTCAGTAGTGTAATTCTAGTTTTATAATACAGCAGTTTTTTCTTGAACCTAGTCTTTTTACTTGGAAATTGTGTGTGTGTGTGTGTGTAATACTGATTAAATTTATTCTTTGACAGTTTCATACTTGTTTGTAGTACATTTTGTTTAGTCTTAACCTCCCATCATCTCTTCTCCCTCCCACTCATGGCAGGCTCCTTCCCACATTCCTACTGGTCCTCTGTTTTTAGAAGGACTATCTATGTGACCATGAGTTTGGAACTATCCATTGGGACCTTTATGGCTGGCATTATTCTTATTTTATTTTGTTTTGAGACAGATTCTCATTAGCTGGCCCGGAACTCACTGTGTACTTTAAGTTGGTCTTAAACTCAGATTAGTCCTCCTGTTTCAGCTTCGGGAATGCTGTGATTTTTTTTTTCTTTTTTAAATAAGGAGATTAGGACATAGGCATGAACAGAGGCAAGACTGTGAAGACATCGCATAAAGAGGAAACGGCCATCTGTAAGACAGTAACGGGTTTCGGAAGTCAGCCCTGGTAATATGGTGGTCATAGATAACCAGCTGGTAGAATTCTAAGACATTACATTTCTGTTGTCACATCCTTTAGTACTTTGTGATAGCAGCCCCAGCAAGTTAGTTAGACAACCTTTAGGGCTATCGCTTTTTGTCAGCAATAATGGATTTTTTTTTTCTTTAAAGGTAGGTTTTTAGTATGTAACGCTGGCTGACCTCAGACTTACATTCTCTTCTCCAGTGCTTGGATTATAGGCCTGTGCCATTGTGCCAAGCTAGATGGAAAGTTTTTACTAAAATTGGTACAGCATAAAGATACACTACAGATCAATAATTGCCATTGAAAATGAGAATAGTGTGATAATCAGTAGCAACTAAAGACCACACAAACATTTAGTAGCAGTCACTTGATGACTAGTTTTATATTGTTATGGGTATTTGACCTGCATCTATGTCTGTACAGCGCATGTCTTTAGAGGCCAGAAGAGGCCATTGGAACCTCTGGAACTGGAGTTAATAGAGGTTCTCTGTAGGTTCGGGGAGCTGAACCCTGGTCCTCAGGGAGAGCAGGCAGTGTTCTTACCCACTAAGATACCTCTCCAGTCCCAGATGCAGTTGGTATATTAAAGATGACTTTTCACAGCTGATGTTTTCATAACTGTTTTAGTCCACTTGGTAGAGTGTTTGTGTGAAGCCCTGGTTTGATCCCCAGCACTGCATAGATCAGGCAAGTTAGTACAGGCCTGTGATCACAGCACTGGGGATATAGAAGCAGGAGGATTCAGAGCTCGAGGTCACCCTTGACCACATAACAAGATGAAAGACAGCCTGAGTTATTGGAGATCTTGTCTCAAAAAAGTAAAACCTGACAAAACAAAAAACCCAAGGCAACAAATGTTCAAAGCAAAATCTCAGTAAAGATTATTTTCTTTAAAAACCACCCAGATGGTCTGCAGGACTGCCTCTTGCGCCTCCTCTGTCCTTCCTGTCTTGCTTCTCAACTCTTTCCCTCCCTCCTTTTTGAGACAGGGTTTCATGGCACCCAGGCTGGCTGTAGGCTAGGGCTGTGGCCATGCACCATCGTGCCTAGATACTAGTTTCTGCTGCTATTCTATGTCCCCTTTTTATTGTTTACTTGTAAATTCTCTTAATTTCGTGTGTACATTTGTCTGTGTAAGGGTGGTGGATCCCCTGGAACTGGAGGTAAAGACAATTGTGAGCTGCTATGTGGGTGCTGAGAATTGTACCCTGCTCTTAACCACTGGGCCACTCTCTAGCCCTGTAAATTCTTTTCTAAGTGTTTTCAGTTGAGAGTCTGATAATCTTTAAAACTGGAGGAAGCCTGCAAAGGACTTGGCATGTATATGAAGATGCGTAACATTCCCAAAGTCCAAGAGATCAATTAAATTTATTGTCTTTTGTTTCCCAGCTACTCAGGAATAGTTAATTGTGCTGTAGTTTCGGATTGAGCAAAGACTGTCTTCTAAATTGACATTGATGCCTGAAAACTTGTTATGCACGAGAAAGTTTCTAAGGTGTAAATAGTGCAGTTATGCCAGATCCTTCTTCTCCCTCCCTCCCTCCCTCCCTCCCTCCCACCCTCCCGAGACAAGTTCCACTATGTAGCCTTGGCCTGCCTGGAACTCAATATTTAGACCAGGCTGGCCTGGAACTTAGAGAGATTCTCCCACCTCTGCTGGGATTAAAGGCATGGCCACCATGCCTGACTTCTTTTTTTTTTTTTTTTTTTTTTTTTGGTTTTACGAGACGGGGTTTCTCTGTTTGGGAGGCTGTCGGTCCAGCCTGGCCTCGAACTCACAGAGATCCGCCTGCCTCTGCCTCCCGAGTGCTGGGATTAAAGGCGTGCACCACTAACGCCCGGCCATGCCTGACTTCTTATACCTTATATCTAAAATAATCCACTTTGCTAAAATTCGAACTGTATAACATTTTTATGTCTCAGTATCCTTGAAATAATTTGAAAATCTGAATGGGGTAGTTAAAACCACTGTTTTAAGCCTGCTTGTAGGTCATTTCCACCATCTACTGTCAGCCATTTGCTATTATCTGAGATTTCAGGTTCATGGTTGCTCCCTACCAGCTATCTTGGCATGTAAGCAGCTTCTCTAAACTTTGCTTATCTT